GTGACAATTTTCCCAATTTTGGGCTTTTTCGCCCCGATTCGCAGCCGGGGCGCCGCCGCTGTCCGAGGAGGAGCTGGAGCAGCTGCTGGAGTCGGGCCCGGCCCAGATCTTCATCCCCAACGCAAGTTTGGGGCAAAAAACGGCGATTTTGGGGCTCTGGGGAAAAATGGGGAATTTCGGGGGGTTTTGGGGTGAATTTGGCCGATTTTGGGGTGAATTTTGGGGTGAATTTGGCCGATTTTGGGTTAAATTTTAAGGTAAATTTTGGGTTGAATTTGGGGTGAATTTGGCTGATTTTGGGGTGAATTTCGGGGTGAATTTTGTCGATTTTGGGTTAAATTTTAAGGTAAATTTTGGGTTGAATTTGGGTTGAATTTTGGGGTGAATTTGGCCGATTTTGGGTTAAATTTTAAGGTAAATTTTGGGTTGAATTTGGGGTGAATTTGGCTGATTTTGGGTTAAATTTTAAGGTAAATTTTGGGTTGAATTTTGGGGTGAATTTGGCCGATTTTGGGTTGAATTTCGGGGTGAATTTGGCCGATTTTGGGTTAAATTTTAAGGTAAATTTTGGGTTGAATTTGGGGTGAATTTTGTGCCAATTTCGAGTTGAATTTCGGGGTGAATTTGGCCGATTTTGGGTTAAATTTTAAGGTAAATTTTGGGTTGAATTTCGGGGTGAATTTTGCCGATTTTGGGTTAAATTTTAAGGTAAATTTTGGGTTGAATTTGGGGTGAATTTTGTGCCGATTTCGGGTTGAATTTTGGGGTGAATTTGGGTTTTTTTGGGATTTTGGGGTTTTTTGAGATTTTGGGTGAATTTTGGGGTGAATTTGGGATTTTGTGCTGATTTGGGGTGGATTTTGGGGTGAATTTCAGCGGTTTTGGGTAAATTTGGGTTTTTTGGTGTTTTTCTTGGGATTCGGGGTGGATTTTGGGGTGAATTTGGCCATTTTTGGGTAAATTTTTGGGGTTTTGGGGTTTTTGGGATTTGGGGTGGATTCCAGACCGGATTTTGGGGTGAATTTGGCCATTTTTGGGTAAATTTTGGGTGGTTTTTTGGTTTTTAGGGATTTGTGGTGAATTTTAGGTTTTTTTGGGAGTCGGGGTGGATTTTGGGGTGACTTTGTCAATTTTTGGGTAAATTTGGTTTTTCTGTGTTTTTTTGTGACTCGGGCCGTATTTTGGGGCAACTTTGGCCATTTTTGGGTAATTTTTGAGTTTTTTGGGGATTTTGGGTGAATTTTGGATGGATTTTGGGGTAAATTTGGCCGNGGGATTTTGGGTGAATTTTGGATGGATTTTGGGGTAAATTTGGCCGTTTTGGGGTAAATGTGGGGTTTTTTGGGTTTTTTGGGATTCGGGGTGGATTCCGGGCCAGATTTTTGGGGTAAATTTGGACGTTTCTGGGTAAATTTGGTTTTTCTGTGTTTTTTTGTGACTCGGGCTGTATTTTGGGGCGACTTTGGCCATTTTTGGGTAAATTTGGTTTTTCTGTGTTTCTTTCTGCTTCGGGCTGTATTTTGGGGCGACTTTGGCCGTTTCGGGCCGTATTTTGGGGTAAATTTGGCCGTTTCTGGCTAAATTTGGGGTTTCTGTGTTTCTTTGTGCTTCGGGCCGTATTTTGGGGCAACTTTGGCCATTTTTGGGTAATTTTTGAGTTTTTTGGGGATTTTGGGTGGATTTTGGGGTAAATTTGGCCGTTTTTAGGTAAATTTGTGGTTTTTTTGTGTTTTTTTGGTATTCAGGGTGGATTTTGGGGCGACTTTGGCCATTTTGGGCCGTATTTTGGGGTAAATTTGGCCGTTTCTGGCTAAATTTGGTTTTTCTGTGTTTCTTTCTGCTTTGGGCCGTATTTTGGGGCGACTTTGGCCGTTTTCGGGCCGTATTTTGGGGTAAATTTGGCCGTTTTTGGGTAAATTTGGGGTATTTTTGTGTTTTTTTGGTATTCAGGGTGGATTTTGGGGTGACTTTGACCGTTTCGGGCCGTATTTTGGGGTAAATTTGGCCGATTTTGGGTAAATTTATTTTTTCTGTGTTTCTTTCTGCTTCGGGCCGTATTTTGGGGCGACTTTGGCCGATTTTGGGCAGGCGGGCGCGGCGCGGGCGGCGCTGGACGAGGCGGGCGCGCGGCACCGGGAGCTGCGGCGCCTCGAGCGCGGCCTCGGCGAGCTGGGAGAGCTCTTCCGGCTGCTGGGCGGCGCCGTGGAGGCCCAGGTCTGAACTGGGATATACTGGGAGGGACTGGGAGGGACTGGGAGGGGCCCGGGGCGAAAATCCCGGTGGTTTTGGGGTGAAAAATGGAGATTTTGGGGGGGAAAATGGAGATTTTGGGGGGGAAAATGGAGATTTTTGGGATGGAAATGGGACTGGGTTATACTGGTTTGGACTGGTTTGGACTGGGAGGGAACTGGGAGGGAACTGGGAGGGACTGGGAGGGGCCTGGGGCGAAAATCCCGGTGGTTTTGGGGTGAAAAATGGAGATTTTGGGGGGGAAACATGGAGGTTTGCAGGCAGAAAATGGAGATTTTTGGGATGGAAACGGGACTGGGTTATACTGGTTTGTACTGGGAGGGACTGGGAGGGAACTGGGTTATACTGGTTTGGACTGGGAGGGAACTGGGAGGGGCCCGGGGCAAAAATCCCGGTGGTTTTGGGGTGAAAAATGGAGATTTTGGGGGGGAAAATGGAGATTTTTGGGATGGAAATGGGACTGGTCCATACTGGTTTATACTGGTCCGTACTGGTCCATACTGGTTTATACGGGTCCATACTGGTTTATACTGGTCCATACTGGTCCTTACTGGTTTATACGGGTCCATACTGGTTTATACTGGTCCATACTG